CATTGCTGATGGCCCCTAAGTCCTGTATGCCCCCTTCTGTGTCACTTAACATGGATAGTTATCTCCTAATAATGGAAACTTGCTGTTATAACAGGGTGAGACAATAATACTTTAAGATTTAAAATTATAGTGTATCTGTCAAAATTCTGTAATTCTCCCCCATATTTAGTGTATTTGAGAGTTTATACAGCTCTTAGTTTAAATTGAGTGTGAAATAATTATTATAAATGTCAGTAATTCCCTGGATAAAGTACTTTCACATGCATTGTGTATGTATCACTACAATTTTTGGTTGGTACCTATATATACATTTCTGGCCAGATTTTGAATATGGACAGATGGTCATATGTTAAGGCAGTGCAAGGCTGCCAGTTTAGTAACAGTATTTTCCTTCTATGGAAAACGCATAAATGCAGAAGTGATTGGTACAGCTTAGGTCATGTAACCATTTCCCCTGTATTTCCTTGCAGAGTGTAGAAAAGGGAATTGTTTCGTGCATAGGTTCAGCAAATTTTGACCTGATCATATGGCACTGGGCGTGCAAGGAGGGCTTCAATGAAGGCTGCAGGGGCAAAGCTTCATTTTGGCATTTCCTAGCTTCTGGGAGTGTATATTCACATTTTTCTGAGTGCAATTCCTGATTTCTTTTATCACTACTGCTCCCATGGATGGTGCGCCCCTCTGGTAAGAAAACAGCATCATGCATCATGTGGAATGAAATTGCAGCGTTAGTCTGAGCCTCAGGGAAAACTTGTGAACTGGCTTGAAGAGATGGATGCTTTATTTTCTGTACCCTAAAACCATGGTTTCCGTAGAGAAACTGGCTTTGTTACTCATTCAGGTTTTCTGGGTGTTTCTTTTTGCAGCTTGTGCTCGATAAAGCGGACAGAGCCTGACGGCTTGGCAGGGTTTGAGCGCCGCTCCCCTCCCTCGCCGTGCTCCCGCTGGATTTTGGCGGGAGGACGCTGGGACGGGAACCGGTGTCCCGCAGGCTCCCGCCGCCAGATGGCGCTGTGCCCCCGGCCCGCGCCGCTCCCGGGCCGATCCAGGGCCCCGCTCCCGCCTCCTGACAGCCCGGCCCGGGCCGATGCAGGGCCCCGCTCCCGCCTCCTGACAGCCCGGCCCGGGCGCTGCTCTTTACTCCGCTCCCGCTCTCCCAGAAAACGGCGGAGTGTCTGGAGACTTGGTGTCTCTTGTTTGTAGTGTTGAAACTATTGTTTGTAGTGTTTGTTGGAAGATGCGATTGTTTCCAGAAAGGCCTTAGAGAATCCTAGAATGGCTTGGGTTGGAGGGGACCTCAAAGATCATCTTCCAGGTTGCTCCAAGCCCCATTCAGCCTGGCCTTGAACACTTCCAGGAATGGGGCATCCTCAGGTTCTCAGGCAACCTGTTGCCAGAGTGCAACAGGTGCCTCACCACTCTCACAGTAAAAAAATTTCTTCCTAATATCCAGTATAAATCGACCCTCCTTCAGTTTAAAGCCTTTGGCCCTTTCCCTTTTGCAGCAGGCCTTGCTGCAAAACACTTTTTAGTGTGTACCCATCTTTCTGGTAGACCTCTTTTAGGTATTGAAACACAGTAATAAAGTGTCTCTGGAGCCTTCTTTGAAGTGAACGGTGCCAGATCTCTCAGCCTTTCCTCACAAGAGAAGTGCTCCAGCCCTGATCATCTTCACGGCTCTTGCCTGGACCTGCTCCAACAAGTCCGTGTCTTTCTTGTGCTGAGGACTCTGGCGCTGGATGCAGCACTCCGGATGGGCAGGTGAGCTCTCATATTGAGCAGTTAATAAAGCTGATGGCCATAGATAATTTAGATTATTTTTTTGGTCTTTGGTTGGCGCTATATGCAAAGGGATTCAGTAGTTGGACAGTTACTTCAGTAGATTAATAATGCATGTGTCTGTCCAGTAAGCATCTGTTCTTTGAATGACAGTACATATGTCTGATTCTGTTATTTTACTGTGTTAATCTAGGAGGTATAATGCCCAACTATCCCAAGCATAAACTTTTTTCTCCCAGCATTTTTCATTTATTTCTTTGAAGACAGCACTACCCTGTGCAGTGTGCTTTTTCATTTTCCAACAGACCATCTTGGAAATGGCAGGAGACAAGGAGCACTGGTGTTCTCATGGGAACGGATGTCTGCCTGCTTTAAGGTGGTGATCGTGGGCAGTTCCCATTATTGGATGACATGCAGGAATTAATTTACTGTCCTCAGGGCTTGGTAGTACCTTAGTTAGAATCCATGCCACGGACTGGTCTATACCCTGGAACAGACTTGTGAAGAATATAGATGGGCAGAGGGTGCCTGATAAATAATTGCTCAGGCCAACAGCACTTCTGCCTTGGCTGTTAGGGCTATACTCGTGGTATGATTCCTCAAAACTGTGTTTGTCTCTGCCTGATTCAGAAGTGGAGTCTCTTATTATTATTTATTGCTGGTAGAAAATGGCAATGAAAAAAATCCAAAGTGATTGCACTAGAGAAGGCTAAAAGGAAAAAAATACTTGTAGAGAGTAAAAATGATGGAAAGTTAATGGAACAGAATGAACCAGAATGAGTGGTGCTGTTTTTTTGTTGTCTGTCCTTCCCTGTTCTGTCAGGACCGAGTAAATTATGCCAAGTAGAATCTTGCAGAATTTTGCAATAAATTGCCTGAATTTATCCATACTCACTGCTTTGTGAGGAAGGGAGGCCACTTCAGAGGCTGTGGCCTCTGCACTTGGAGTACCTTGTAATTTTGGGCATATTTCCTGAAAACAGAACTCATCTTTCAGGGATCTCCTGAGTCACTTTGAAAAACTCAGGAACGGGTAAACTCCAAAGCTTTTTATCGTGGTGGTGGAAGGCTCAAAGCCTGCTTTTCACCTCTTTCTGTGTGTGAGGCAGGAGTGAAACTGCAGAGCACTGAGCAAATATAATTCTGTTATCCCGTGTCTTGCTTTCCCTTTGTGGTTTGTTTCAGGTTTTTCTTTCTTTTTAAGAAGTGTCTCTTCCCTCCCTGCTCCTTGCCCCAGGCTGTAGCCCTTAAAGCAACTGGGATGGAACAGCAGAGAGGCAATAGTTGTTTCTTTGTTTACATCTCACTTACAAAAAATACTAGGTTTCTGTTGAACAATGTCCTTTGTCCTGACACAGCTGTTCTCACCACACTCTCTCGTTACTCACTGGGCACCTCCAGCCACAATTTTATTCAGAAAACCTGGAGATGTGCTGTGAACCCCAAATCCCATGTCTGTGTCCATCAGAACTGTTCCTAGTGACAGACGTGTTCTGAAACAGATAATGTGTATGTAGTAAAAAGTGAGCTTTTCTGTGCACAAGTTACTCAACATTCAGGTTTTTGGCTGTTTCTTTCCAAGACACCAAACATTTGTTTTACACTTAGAGAGTCAACAGAACAGGAAACTAACATATAGAAGAGGCAAAAATGCCTTAATTTTACAGTTAGGCTTTTTTTTTATTTCAATCAATAGTTTAACAAGTGCTTAAACTTCCCCAGCAGTTTAATCTGGAACATAGTTGAGAAGAAAAATATCTTCTATAACTTTACAAAAATAAAAAGATTTTTTTTTCTTTTAAAATCCTGCACTTTAGGCAAGCACACTCCGACTCAAGCAAGACTGACATTATATCTTAAAATACAAACTTCAGTTCATAGAAATGACATTCTACTCCAGGACAGCAGGCACAATAAGTAAATGGTATAGAAACAGAGTAAGAACACTTGTTTTGACTTTTCTGATCCCTTTTGTCCTATTTCTTGAATAGAGCCTCTTGAAACAATTTGCCTAAGAATTTCTTTAGGTTGCCATTTCTTCTGTCAGGTGGATCCTTGAGTAGGATATTACTGAGGGAAAAGCTTTCACCTGTCTTGGCAACAGCTGAAGATACCAACATTAATGGATTAATTTTTTTTTAAACCTTCTGCATTTCAGCAAGGGACAAATCACCCAGCTTGCAGGTCTTTCACTGCTAAACCACTTGCAGCTTAACCTCTTCAGCAGCCAGGGCTGCCAGCACATGAGGTCAGGTTGGAGAAATAAAATGAATGGAATATATTGTGTCACTCATGTATGTGGTGCTGTGCAGCAGTTAATTTAGTGAGTGATGAAACCAAAAGAGGGGGTAAGCTTAGCTCCTCGTTCTGCGCCTGCAAGCAAGAAGAAGCCTCACAGAAAATACAGACCAGCACATAAACTATGCACTCTGAAGACTTACAGCTTTGTCCAACTTGACTTGTATTGGCTAAAAGAAAAATTAAAAATATACAGGCACGTGGAGGTAAGCTGGTGCAGCAAATGCTAAGAACCCAGATCATAAAATTGTTTCTGTCAACACTACAAATAAACTACAGAAGTCCCCAGTCAGATTTCATGTAATGCATTGTGAAGACCTTTTAAAAATACTTCCTTTTTAAGTGTCTTTAAATAACAGGGGGAAAAAGAACATTTATGGTACAATTTGTACCGTGAGTTACATTTTCATGTAGTCTAATCATAAACCTTTTAAAACCTAGACCTTTGCAAGTCTGTGATTCAAAACAGCTGAGATGTGAATGTGCTTTTAGAGGTTATAACTGGACAGATCTTTCTCTTGAAACTGTTGCAACATTTTTGACATTAGACAATTCACAGAGGAGTCACAAGGCACTAACAAACTGTAGATGATTGCCCTGATAAGTATAGAAAATCATGTTGTGGAACAGCTCCTTTGGTCTTTGCTTTAATCCTGCATCACAAGGATGTGCAGATTTCAGCTGGGATCGAGTGTGTGTGGCACTTGCACAGGCCAGTGACACAGTCTGACAACTCCTAACCATGGATATTTTTTCAGAGATAGGACCATATGGGAGTGGTCGATGGTGGTAAAAGCAGCTTGTCTTGTGTGATCTAAGGAATGCCACACAGTACCCATCCTTTAAAAAAAACCCAAATGTGGATTCACTCCTGGTGCTACATCTCAAATAGAAGAGATCTCAAATGCAGCAGGTACTGCTTGACTGTAACAGCTCAGTAGCCCAGTTACAGAAATGCTGGTATCACTCTGCTGACTATAAAACTCAATCTAGAGAAAACCAAACTCCATGCTGGTTCATAACTACTCTGTCAGAGTCATCCAGCCTCCTTCTTGACCCTCTAGTTAAAACTGTGCTCCCCATCAGCAACGGATCCAGAGCTGGCTCTTCAAGTACATTTGACTGCATGGAGCAAAAAATACATCAAGAAATGCTGATCAGAACAGCTGTTGTTCATTGGGCTCAATTCACCACGGCTTTCAGATCCTTCCAACAGGCTGAAGAAGGATCTAACATTAAAAGGATGGATAAATACTTTGTCTGGTGATTACTGAGCCAACCAGAGCTCCATTCCTGACTCTTAAGTAACAGTTTTCTGTGAGTTTTTATTTGTCTGAGGAAAAATATGAAAGATGTGGTCTGACTCAGCAGTGCATCTATCCATGATACTGCTCCTTCCCTCTGTCTTCCTGCTGTCTCAAAACTAGGTGAACTCATTCTGTTCCAACTCTGAGGAAAGTCACATCCATGTTTTCAAGGAATGCTTTTGCTATAGTAGTCACTATGAAGACTCACTATGTAAAGTTGAAAGACTTTCATTCAAAACATACTTTCCCTAGGATACTGAAAATAATACATTAAAGGTTCTTTTTTTGACACAGTATTGGGCTGGGCAGCTAGCAGCTGCTTATGCTGTGAAGAAACACTACAACTTTTTTCCTTATGTTTCTTACACATGTTCCTGCTCTTCTTGTGAGCCAAAATGTGTACATCAGTAAAAGCCACAGCCCAAACACACGATTAAGCTACGTTCTCAGTTCATTCCCCATTAAAGCATGGGAATGCGGTTCATCTATGAACTTCCAACCCCTTGCTGGCCTTAAACATCTCCCCTACTGCTTCCAGAGTCTGCTCTGACCTGCATCAGTGCACAAAAGGATGTATTCACCACTGAGGGGAACTTGAGAGTTTCCAGGGCAGGCTCTAGTTGACAAATGCTCTCTGAGGGCTGTCTCTCCACCTTCCCAGCAGTGTCTCTCCATACCAAGCTGATTTAAGCTCCATGAAACCATGGCATGTGTTGGGACACTTCAGCAAGGAGAAAAGGAAGGACGTGGTTGCATTAGTGCATCTCTTGCTCCTCCCTCTCTAAGACTGGGCTGGTGTTCCTCCATCTGAGGGGGTGTTTCCAGCTGCTTTCTTGTTTTACCAGGAGCCACAGCGTGTTTGCTGCTGTAACCCTTTTCTCTGTTCTTACACAAGGTCAGATGACTAAAAAGATGCTGCTAAATAGGGCTGCAGAACACATTAGATCCCATTTGTTTTACTCTGCCCACCCAGCTGACCCAAGTACTGCACGTGGAGTATGTAAGGCCTCAGGAATATGGGAAGTCTTTCCTGCAGCCTTGTATTGGCAGCTACCTGCACTCTGTGCATCTGACAGGAAAATTGCTGCTGCTGGCTGGCTTTGAGGGGGCTTCATTGTAGCTACTCTCTAGATAAAAAGGGAGGCCTCGAAGCAATTACACAGCCAAGCTAATTGAATGAGAAAATACTAAACCACTGGTTATTTTTACAACTTAATGATTGTAAAAATAGCTTAAATTACTTGGAGTATTTTTGTTTTAATTAGGGGTATCAACCATTTAGCACTTTTTGAACAGAGGGCTGTTGATTTGCTGATTCTTTCTGTATTATGAGCTGTGAGATAATGGCAAGATAAATCTTTGTGGGTTTCCTCCTTATATACATATCTACATCAGAGCTGTGAAGTCAGAGGGGGAAGCTGCTATCACAGTACTGGCACAACACCGAGCCCTTCCCCAGAGCTAAATTCTGATGAGAAATCAGGCACTGGGGATAAGAGTACCACAACAGTAAGATGGCAGAGATGACTGAAGCAGGATCATAGAGTTCATCCCAGCAGTTAAAAAAAAAAAAATAAACGGAGACCCCTTCCCTCCCCCCCGAAGTCTGCAGTCCTAAAGTGCAATTACTTTTGTGCAGTCGTGTCAGGCCAGGGATCAGACTGGATGAAGTTCAAAGCACAAACATCAAACGAGTGCCGTTCGGGATTCGAGGAGGAAGAGGGAAGTAAGGAAAAGAACAACAGTTCTCAGGCATTCAAGTGCATCAAGAAAATAAATGTCCTTTTCTGTCTGAAGAAAAACAACCCCCAGTCTGGTGGAATCCTGGCTCTGTAGTCATGAAAAAGAAGTTTTCCTCGCTTCTAGCTGAGAATGTCCCAATATGACACAGTACAAATAAACAACAGAGCAAGAGCTGGGGTGCTGCGATATTTTTCTGGTGCCCTGCTGCTGTAGAGCCTGATTTTATTCTCCTCGTGTGACTCTTCAGGTCTGGGCTCTGATGAGGTGCACTGAATTAAAGGCATCTGGTAGGAAGTGGCTCTCTTCTCGGGTCGGTCGGGGCTGGAGCCGTCGCTGGGTCTCTGGCCGTTGTAGAGCAGGTACCTGCCCCGGGCATCCTGCTCCATCTTGAAGATTTCGTACTCGGTGTGAGGCAGGCGGATGCCGAGCGCGATGCAGCCGTTGGTGTGGGTGACGTCCTGCTGAACCCCAACCTGCCAGGATCCCTGGGCTCCACACTCGTTCCCGTTGAACACATTGAGCAGCGAGGCTGTGGATATATCCATGGGAGTGACCTTCATGTGATTCACTGTGAGAGAGGAACAGGGGAGCTGTGAGCGGGAGGACGAAAACAACAGCAAAGCCAACATGCACATTGGGGCACACCTGTTAAATCAAAATTGTCTCCCCTTGTTTCTTCTTAAACTTGTTTTTCACATTACAGGTGTGGCCAGCAAATCTAGGAGCACCATTTAATGTCTTTGTCTTTGCCTGTGCAAAAATTGCTTTTTGCAAAGAACAACCTCCCTCCAACTCAGCTGAAGAAAACCTGATGGCCACGTATCTCAGCCAGAGATTAAGCAGAGCTTTTCATAAATTCCAGACAATCCTTCACAGATAAAGCCTGGTTTGTTGTACTAGGAGATAAGGAAAAGAGGAAACAATAAAACTTTACTCATGTTTTATTACTGCCTGTATTAATTCGTAAGTGGGGCATTTATCACATATTTTTCATCATTTCTTAACATTTGCTAGCTACCCTGCAAACCTAATAAAATAATTACTTCCCACTGGGAAATCTGTAAAACAACACAGTTGCACTATCATCCTATATTACCTGTCCTTTTTTGCATGAATTATAAAATATAGACGACCTACAGAAAGATGTTTTTTCTCATCTCTCAACATTGGCTGCAGCTTGCAGTATCAAATGTAGAACTGCTGCAGTTTCTTTAGTTCTAACCTGCTTGTATTTCAAAGGAGTTTAAGGCATATAAAGTTTCATTTTCTAGCCAAGTTAAAGAAGTTGAGAAAAGCCAAAATGAATGAGCCTGCAGAAGCTGACTAGAGATTTTTCCTGGTGTGTGTTTGACATTGTAAATCAAGAAAAAGGGATCTGAATGGATTGGTGCTACCAAAACAGAAGCAAATAACCGTCCCTCATGCCTCCCAACATACCAAAATCCCAAATTCTCTTGCAGATCATTTCATAGTAAGATTTGTTGTGAGCTTTTCCTGAGCTTTTATAAACAGCCATTTGACTCAATAGCTCTACAATTCACATTATTTACTCTAGCTGGAGTAAAAGGTAATTTATAGAAATTGAACCTGAAAGTTTTACCTAAGCCCAAATTAGTGACCTTGATCTGTAAGGTACGTTGGCACAACATAAACCAGAAATGCAAGCTGGATTTGATGCCAGGAGCTGAGCTGGGACATGCTGCACATGCGGCTCTTAAGAGCCAAAGTTCTGACAGGCAAGGGCATCTCCCACCTCCTACAAAAAATCTCAGATAAATAAATTATTTCTTCTAGTCGTATGCTTTTCTAAATTAGACCCATGTAAGATGCTTTACACTTCTAATGTGGTAACTGAAATAAGGAGAAGAGCCTACAGAGGGCTTGAGGCTACCAGAGGCTCCGCTGGGGCTGGTGCCATGGTGGGATGTTGTGTTTTGGAGATGTTTGTTTGTGTGAGTGGCTCAGGCCCCTGAGCCCTTTTTAAGCAGGATTCCATGGGTCTGTTTGCAAAAGAAAGCTTCTCAGCCATGGGTGGCGTCACCACCGAGAGCTGCTTTCCAAAGTACCCGATGGTTTGGGTTGGATACATTTTGTCTTTGCTCTGGCATCTTTAATCAGAGCTGTCTTTAGGGACACCCTTATTTGCTTTAGGGCCCCTTGGGAGCACATGAAAAGATGCATGCTGCTGCATCTGTTTTCCAGAGAAAATTATTTATACCCCTTCAGATCTGAAATGCCTTCTGAAGATGCTTTTTTCTCTCTACGGAAGGAGCCCTAGGACACAGATCTAACCACTTCTCTTAGAGGCTTGACATCTGGCCACTGGCCTTCAAGATCACTAAGTAATGTGGAGTCTTATTTTCTTGTGTGTACTTAAGGACTTCTGCCTCAAATGAGTATTGCTTCAGTGGTGTGAAATGACATGCAGCTGTATAGTTTGGCTGGGCATTGACACAATGCCTGCAAACTTCCCAAGAAATGATGAACTCCTGAAAATCCCAGAATGAAATCATCAGCAACCAAGTCATTATGAGCAAACTGCTCTGGTCCATAACTACCTTCCTCCCCATTGTATCAAGCTACTCTACCTTTGAACACAAACTCTGTGCCACCCATGACTTTGGACGAGTGGACTCCGCGGCTGTAGCGTCCCTTGGCGTAGATGGTGAAGGTGGGGTGCTTGCAGATGGGGTCGGAGTAGTGGTAGTAGTGGCCCTCCCAGGTGTTGTTGTTGTCGTGGAAGATGAAGTGGCGGGTGAGGAAGAGCACCTCCGGCCGCACCTCGCAGCGCTGGCTCACCCACTCTCCGTGCAGCCCGATGGTCAGGTCCGCCTTGGGGGGCAGGATGGGCGGGTGGTGCTCGTCCGAGCGGTAGATGATCCTGCACGCGATGCACTTGTGGTCGTGGTTCTGAAACAAAGCAGACAGGAACCCTCAGTTGGCATCACCTGGGATACAGGGCAGTGTATCAGGCCAGCCACTTCATGCTGACGTGACACCAGCTCCACTTTAAGGAATGCATTGTCATTTCTGATCTTGTTAGTGGTGCTATTTGGTTTTGTATTCATAAGTCTGCACAGGAGATGGGCATGTAATAAATGAATTCTCCTGTCTGCATTTATCTGAAATTAACATTTTAGTTCAGGATCTAGAAAAGGCTGACTTTATCCTTCAGATCATACAAGAAGCTGGCAGATGGTAATTTACTATGATGATAGGGATTTTGCAATGCCTGTGTCAGAAATCAATACATTTGCTGAACTCTTATTTATCTGTCTTTTAGTTGTTAATTTTAGTTGTTACTGTAGATAAACATAGGTGTTATAAGGACTTCTTTCATTTTGGATGGCACCTTGGGAGAATAGTAACCAGTGCTTTTTAAACTCTTTCAGCTTTGCTGAGCCCTAACACATGTTTGGGAAGTGTGTGATGTGGCTGGTTGCTGCTGGAAACGGTGAAAACTTTATTATGGCCCTCTCCAGCAGGAGCAGGGGCTGTGGTACATGCTGAGCTCCAGGGTGGCTCGCCACTCTGGGCCATGCAGCAGCCTCAAGCAGCCAAGCACCCCTGGCCCCAAATGTGAGTACCTGGGGTGTCTTAGGAGGGGCCTGCAGGCTCCAAGTCTGTGGCAGGAGTGGAGAAATTTCAGGCTGAGGCTTCCACCTTCTGAGCAACACCCTTTATAGCTACTTCACATAGACCATTATTCTACATCCTAGGGAGACAGAACAGCAGCCATTTCATTGATTTCACCATTGCTGAAAAGACTTTGGATGACTATCTGGGATGGGGCAAATATAAACCCTGTTTAATATGTGTAAAAGACATATTGTGGGTGTTGTAAGTTGATTCTCTGAAGCTACCTACAGTCATTTTATTGGAGGAATTCAGGGCACTAATGAAGATGGTGTGAATGTCACCTCTAAAGTGAGCCAGAGCTGAAGGCAGTGAGGGGAGAAACGCTGAGCTTCATAGCAGCTCATGTGGACTTTAAAGTAAGAGCTGTGAATATGAGCATTTATGTTACAGAGGGTGCTCAGAGAGGCCTCAAAAAAGAGGGCTGGAAAGGTGTACATAGAAAAAGTATTTCTGTACATCTCCCAGATGGCTGCATCTTGAGCTTTAGCTCTTAACTCAGTGCACCTCAGGAAAACACCTCACAGCTTGAATGTGGTGGATGTGAGTAACCTGCCAGTGCACCTCCCTCTCTCCAGGAAGGATTGAGGAGAGTCCTTGAGAGATGAAAGCACAGGATCTGTGTTGGTTGATCTGAACCACTGCTGGCCCACAGCCCTGCTCTGAGGAGGAAGGAGGTTGGACTTGGTGACCTCTCGAGGGTCTTTCCACCCCTAAACACATGGTCTTCTGGAGACCACATGTGCTGACATGCTCTTAAAGTGGATGTAGTCCTTTCCAAACACTGTGGAGCTTGTTACCAAATTTTAAGATATGTTTTTTTCAGCTAAATTGTGCAAGCAGGTTGAGGTCTGTCAGTACCTTAGTGAAATACAAAGAACATTTAATTGAGTAATTTAACTGCAACTGGTGAAGTTACTGCAGATATATCCACAAAAAGTATCTTCAATTGTAAGAGAAATAATGTTTTTTTCTGGAGATGAAGATGCCAGTGCCTTTTAACCACACATTTCTGTCCTGCCATGGGGCAGACTAGCTGCACTGTTCCCTGACACATCAAGGGCAATGATGACAGTAACTTTATGGCTGTGATTGCCCCACTCACAAAGCCAGAAAGCAAGAAAAAGGCAGTGCTATAAAACTAAAAATAACTTATATAGATTGAATCTATCAATAGTAGGAGAGAATTTCTGTTACAGTCCCTTCTCTTCTGAAGTGAATTTGAAAGCTTCTATCATCTCCTAGAGGAGACCTTGGCAGAGCAGTGTATTGGTTTGGTTTATATACACATTTTCCTCCCAGGAGCTGATCCTCCAAAACCAGTTTGTGAGCCAAGGCAATTTAACCTGGGAACCAGGGATTCCTGTTGCCCTTGCTCAAAACCTGAAGAAAACCAAACAACAAGTCAGCCTGTTTTCTTTTTTGGTCACCACTGGCCACCATCACACTGTGAGCAGAGGTGACTCCTTTGGCAAACCCCAGGAAGATCCCTGTTAACTCTCTGTTACTTGTCTGTAGTTCACCTTTGTAGTTCTTTGACCGCTGTGGTCCTGAACTACCGCAGCTCTGTGCAGCCCTTCTAATTGTGAAGGCTTTGCCCCAGCTGTGAGGGTCTGGCCAGCTGGGCTGCCAAGGAATGCCCCACCTGATGGCCTTGTAGTCACTGACAGTGTGCCCAAATGAAGGGGCTGAGGTAACCAGAAACTTTTTGCATCGAACTGAGAGCAGCAAAGAGAGGTTGGGGTGGTGAGGGAGGAAGCAGAAACATCCCTTTCACAGCTGTGAGACACCAGCTGGCTCCAGCCCCTCGCTGGATGTACTCTGGATCCATTGCTTTCTTGAGACCAGCATTTGAATCTAAGCCCACACAAACCTTTTTTGCTGTGATACTATCTTTCACAATGTCATAAACTTATTAGGGGAAGAATATACCACATATAAACTCCCTCAGTGTGATTTTTTGCCCATGTAATGGGCAAGGGAAAAAGCTAGCTCTGTTATGAGGCAATTTGGCTTAATTATGGAGTAATTTATGTTTAACAATTGACTGTATATTTCGCTCTTGCTTTTTTAGGTCAGCTGCTCTTGGTTCTTAATTACACTATCTGAGGCTTTGCAAATCACTCCTTTTCCATGTGTTTCAGGGAAAGATTATTTTCTAAAAACAGGCATTCAAAGAAAACAAGGAACAGAGACAAAGGATGTTTGAGTCCAAACAGGATTAAGAACTCTCTAGTAAAAAGCTCACTGGGGCATGACATAAACTAAAAAGCAATAAAACGAGCAGAGGACAGGATGGACATCGGTTCTACGTTTTGATTATCTTAGGTGCACAGTGCAGTATTTTTAATACTGGAGCCTTGCTAGAAGGACTGGGCCCTAAAATAGCTGGGAGATTCCTTCCCATGATGGGTGACTCCTTGCAGCTCTGCAGTGCCAAAGCCATAGTGACAACATTCCTCATCCTTCCAGGTGTTTCTTTAAAGCCAATTTCTGAACTAATCCACAAAGCCATGTGTGCCAAAACAAGCCTGAATCTCTGGCTGAAAACTCAGTTCTTGCAGCTGGGGAGAAAATAGCTTAGGATCTAAAAATTCCCACCAACATTTTTTCTTATCACTCTGTCCTGCTGTCTCAGCTGAAGTGGTAATAAGGACAGAGAGCTCTGGAAGCCAAGCAAGGGGGATTCCAATTTAAAAAAGCAAACAAAGATGAGGTTCCTTCATCTTTTTCCCAATTGCTATGGATAGTCAGAAACATAAACCCTCTCAGCACAATTTAATTTTCTCTTAAGTTCTGTGGAATTCTATGGCTGCCTAAGACTAATTATCTGACATTGGCTATGCCACATAGCATGTGGCTGGGTCTGTCATGTTGTACCCAGCATATCCTTGTTGCAGGGGGACATGACATGAGAGACCAGGCACTGGATTTCCTCAGGCACGGGCTCAGGCTTGAACTGTGTGTGCAGTACAGATGTAACCAGAATCCTGGGATGTTGAAGGGGCCAACTGCCACAAAAGCTGGGGTAAGAAACCCCTGCCATATGAATGCACGTATTACCCTGAGGGGAAGTGCTGAAAAAGAGGGGGAAGAAAAGCCACACTCAGCTATGGCCTTGCACACCTCCTGAATACCACGTGTCACAGGCAGGACTGCAGGACTGGTGGGACTGGAATGAATCATGCCTGGTCAGGATGGTTTAAGCCTCACCACCCAAGGAAACAGTACCAGGTGTTAGTGCTAGTAACTAGTGCTGCCAGGATGAGTATAAATGGAAATTCTTGGGAGAACATCAATTCAAGGAAATGCTTCCAGCTCAACCAAAAAAGCTGGATGGCTTTGCTTCACACTGCCGAGGAGCCAAGTCCACAGGAAGGACACATTTATGAATTGCTCAGGATAGTATCAGGCTCTCTCCTTCACCACTGTAGATAACTGCAGACCAAGACAACACTTTAAAAAACGACCACAAATTCTCTCCAGTACAAAAGTGATAATTTGCAGGCTTTGCATGACCTCATACGAAGCTGAGTTGAATAATGTGCATTAGGCTGGCTCTGGGGAGTTGACAAGCGCGGCTGACACAGTTATAACTCAGCCTGCCAAATAGAATGAAGAGAAACGAAGATTTAAAACTTTAATTAAAAATCTTGAGGCAAGTAAAATGCTGGAGAGAGCGGTAACTCCTTTGCAGAGTTGTCAGATGGATATTTCTTTTGGTAGGGAGCAGAGGCACTGCAAGCAGGAAGGAGGGTGGAGATACGCTCAGATTTATCTGCAAATGCGTACCATATATTCTAAGATATTGAGGAATGGTTTTTATTAACTGCTCTTATGAAGGGAAAGATAGTGAAGGAATCTCAAGGCACTACCATTGCACAACTGTCTGATCTATGATGTTGATTCTGTTGCACAACCCTGCATAAAACTGAAATAAACAACACCAATATTAAATGCAAAAGTCTTCTGGTTGTTCTTTTCTGGTATAAATGACTTTAGTGTGAGCAAAAGACAAGAACAAAGAGAAAACCAGACTTCTCAGATGTGCTTGCATGTCATCTGTCCCATTAAAATGATACTAAATTATGGTGAAATGAATGTTTTATGAAGTATTAACAAAAAAAATTCCTGGAAAACCCGAAGGGACAGCTTGAATGTCCATTTTCAAGAATAAAGTATTCCCAAATAAAGCTGCCTTATGTATTTATTATGCCCTTAAAAAGCATCCTATCTAGCCCTCTAAACCATGCAATATTACCACTGAGTCTTCTTTACTCTTTTACAAAAGATGAAGCCACTGTGCTAAGATGCCAACTTTAAGGAAGGTGTCAGTAGTTTAGATACATATGCTGAGTTGACCAGGAGGCCTGGGCTAGGCTAAATGGTTAATTTTGATCCCTGGTGCTGCATTTGAGTTGTGGCAGGCTTTTACTGCAGCTGCAGAGCAGCCAGTGCTCAGTGCAGACGTGGCACCTTCAAAGGTGCAGGGCCACAGCCGACAGCGCTGCCGAGCACGGCCAGAGCCACCCTCAGCTAAAAGCTGCTGCTCCCTCATCTCTTTAGAGCACCACACACACTGTTACTGTTCATAAACCTGGAGTTAACCCACCTGAGCATTCTTCTGAATATTCCTACCTTGCTTCCCCTCATAATTTTCCTAACCAAGAGCTCTTTTCAAGTAAAAATGGACAAAAGGCACCCTTCAAATAAGTCTAGTGGCACCACTCGGACAAACAAAGGAGTTTTGTCTGCCAAAATTGTGCTTTTTGGTTGAGTTTTGCATATTTCTCTGAGGCGCTTCATGTGTTTAACATCTATTTATTAACTTATGATTGCATTTCCCTGGGAGCTTCACAAGTACATAGCATTCCCCTAGAGATGAAGTCATTGTGTTTCAAAGAGATGAAGACTCAAATTTTTGAAAAACACAGAAAACCTTGCACACTTTGCTCTTTCCTGGCTAAAGGAAAGCCCAAGAACCAGTCTCTCTACATACATTGAATCTGTATCAGCTGCAAATTCCAGGTGCTGCTGGAAGTCAGGTCCCAGAAGTAAATAAAGTTGTAATAGAAATTGATTCATTAGAGTCACATTTTACAGGGAAAACATCTTACTGAAAGAGTGTGTCCAGCAACTGATTGAGCATGACAAAGAGTGAAGGTTATCCTAGAGTGCTTTTTAGGTTTCTTGTGATGTTCCTGGCCATGATAGCCTTATTCCTAAGTAATGATCTAATCAGAATGACCGGTCATCACAGCCCTGCTTTGATATTTCCAGTTACTCTGTCACATGATAAAATAGCACAAGGAGTTCTTTGTTTATAAAGCAATATTGCTGAGGCAATTACATGTGAAATAAGTCTCCCAGTACTGCTATTGTACACATTTTCTGTAGTTTAGAGCAGACATTTCTGAAGACATTTTCTGTCCTGCACAGAGAACGAATACTGCATTCAAGCCTTCTTCATGCTACAAGTCCCTGTATACTTCTGTGATATTACAACTAACCAGGCAGCCTCCCCGATGTTGTCCTAACTGGGAAAATTTTGTATAACATGTGTGATGATGGCCAAGCAGTTCCCCCATCCAGCCCTGCCCAGCCATGTGCTCCCTCACGCTGGCTGAAGAAGCTCCATGTGTGATAGCCTGAATCACTCAATAAACTTACAATGTCAAGAGACATCAAAGATGTTCATCTCCATTCATCAGCCAGTCCTAACTAGTACCTTGAGCCAGGTTAGAGAACAGCCAAGATAAATCTATATAGTGACCTATTCATCATCTGTACTCAAGAACTTCCACATATTTTACAGGAGGAATTTGTTTAAGGTATGTTCTTATCTAAGAGAGTTCGTAAAGCCTTTAGAGATGACATATTATATGTTTTTATAAGCTCCCTGATTCTATATGAACACTTGAGATACAGTAATCTGTGAATTTATTCAGATTTGTAGCTCAGCATAAAGCTGTCTGGTTTTTGGACAGCCCTTTTGATTTACCATCCCGTGGTGAAATCGCTGCAGGAATTTGGACAAGGTCCAATTCTATTTGTTTAAAGTCCTGATCATGTGGCTTTGGCATTCCTAACATATCCAGCAATCATTTGTTTTTAATTACCATTCATTTCAACCACATAAGTAATGAATGTGGCTACCACATCCAACTTACAGGCTGTGTAAACTCTTGGGCTGGGTGGAACTTTCTTCTATATAGAGGCTTAACTATAAATTTAACTCAAAATGTGAATCCTCTTAACTTATTTTAGGCAGGCCTTTATGAGTCTAAAATATAAATAAATAAAAAGGAAATGAAAAAAGCCTTAAATGAAAGATTCCACACAATACACCTGATTCACTTCAGAAGCAATTTCCTGGCCTCCCCAACCTCTTGGTATGACTGTAGAAACCTTAAGAAAACAAGTTGATTTAACGTTTCTATTTATTCATGGTGTCCAGTTTCCAGAGGAGTCTGTGACTTGTAGTTTTAAACTCAATTTAGCATTTAAACTCATTTTCAGCTGGGTCCCAGTGGAGCAACAATTAAAAAAGGAAAAGAGTTCAAAAAGGAAGGGTTATAACCTTTCAACGGTATGTTTGCCTGGACTTCCAGAAAAAAAAAGGGGAAAAAGCACTTCTGTTACTATTCTTCCTGCTTTTGGCAAACAGTAGGTCAGAGTGCCTGTTGAGAACCTGTTGGTATAGGGATCTTCATGCTTAGGTGCAAACCAACAAACCCACATCCTGGAATCTTTCATGGCAGCTGAAGCAAAAGTTAATTGTTTATGGTATTGCTATTTATATCATGCTGAAAGCCCAGTACCAGCAGGCCCAGCTCCTCTTAGCTAACCTGTCCCAAGAAACACACCTCTCCTATGCAGGATTTGGTCCCTTAAATTTGAACATTGTATTTTAGAGCCACTATATTTTAGAGAGAGAAAGGGATGCTACGGTAGCAGAACACACAGGCAGGAAAATCATTACCTAAAATTACAGCAGGCCTGGACAACAATCTGAATTTTCTAAAGCTGTCTGAAAATACATCTGACTGCTCTGACTGTAATGAAATTACTACAAGGTGGAAGTGTAGGCATTTGCTGTCTTACATATCAGCCCAAAATAAAACATCTAGATTAGACCAGAAAAACTACTCAGCTACAGTGATTTAAATCAAGATTTTGTCTCTCTTTCAAGCAGTTGGAAAAAGATCTACAATGTTTTCTAGAACAGATACAATATAGGTGGTGTCTGATAATTCCTATCTACAGATACCTGTAAGGAAGAGATCTAGCAAAGAACCCTCACATGCAAATCAGTAAAGTTGATGTGGTTAATTAAAGAAAACCAAAATTTTGCAAAGGATTGTGCTGTGGTACATCTGCTGCTGAAACTCTCTATTTTGGGAAGGTAAGTTCAAAAAGAATACTCAAACTTGTCCTTGGTAACTTGAAGACAGCATAAGAATGACAGAAATTACCACAGTTTTTATAAAGTTTTTCATAAAGCAAAACAGTCAACTGTGGATTAAAATGATCCCTAGGCCAGGCTACAAAGCAATTAAAGGCAGATCACACAATGCTATATTTCCTGCTATTGCTGATAAGCCGTAACTGATTTTTGAACCATTTGTGATGAGATGATTAAAAATGGTAGTAACCCATAGGCTGGAAGTGATGCTGTGGTAGTGCCCAGCTGGAGCACACTGATGGCAGCAGCACCTGGCAATGTGGTTCCAATTGCTGCCTGCCTTTGAAATGTCACCAGGAAAGATCTATAACAGCCTTCCTGCTACAGGCCATCAGTGTCTGTGCTTCCTGTTTGAGTTTTATTTAGCTTACTATGGGTTGATCAATTCCTGATGAAGCTGAGGGCACTCTGAGGCCCCTTTGAAAGCTGAATTATCAAATGGAATTAGAGCCCCATTCAAAATTCACCTGTTTTTAATTTCATTAATGTGTGGGCCTACGTCTGGATCCATGACCTGTGCAGTCCTTCAGTTTTTTTCCCTTCATGCTGCCCCTTCCATGTGTTTACCTTCCAATTTCCTTGTCTCCTCTTCAGGTTATGGATCACCCAACTTCCATCTGCTGATATTCATATTTGATTTCCTCTCTCCCTGGTTGCCCCCACAGCCATAGAAGTATCCACTGACGCCTGTTCCTCTTCTGCTATCTCAGTTCTATATGAAACATTCCTCTCAGCTGCTAGCCTACAACCATGGTCCCAGCCAACCACTCCCACTTCTGCCTACAAGTCTCTGATTCCATCTTCAGAGCAGCCTTTACTGAGTTTACTTCATGAGATTCCTTTATTCCATATTTGCAGTCACATAAACTGCAGCAAAGTTACTGTTCTCACAAAGTCAGTTCTGTTATCTTCTGTTAATTATGGCTGTAATCAACCCCCTGTATTAGAAGCACACGTAGATTTTAGGTTACATCAGTGCACTTAGAACAACTGAGTGATTTGGGCTTTATCAGCAATGCCTTAAAAAGAGGACACATGCAAACCCCCAGACACATACCTTGGCATTCTGGAGAGGAGGCTGGTAACTAGAGGGCCGATAGAACCTCCTCTGAGTAGCATCAGTGTGAATGTCTCCCAGGAATAGCTCCTCCACAAGGTGGTCTACATTGAGGTGCAGGTACTGCTTCTCCACACGGATCAGCTGCAGCTCGTGCATGGCAAAATTCAGAGCTTTGGTGCACTCACAGCCGTTCTCTTCTCTCAGCAAATCATAGCTCACATTGTGCTCCCAGGGACTATCTCCTGGGATAAATCCAGGGCACGTCTGGTTCACCAACTCGCTCAGTTTTTTGGCTACGGCTTCGTTGTGGCATATGATCTGCACGCTGCGGAGCTGGTAGTCGGCCTCGGTGCCGCCGCGGATGATCCAGGACGCCTGCCGCAGGCGAATCTTGCCGCGAATGACCAAGGTGTAGATGGGGTTGGTGCAGCGATTGCCTCCGTAGTAGAACTGATAGGCCTTGAAGGTGTTGTTGTGGTAGAACCTGTAAGACCTTGTGATGAACTCCGGGCCCGCTCTAACTTCGCAGCTGTGGGAGGAAACAAAGTGTGGAAACAAAATTTTAGCAAGGTGGCACATGATGGGCAACATGACCCACATGGGTCCACAGGGACACCTGGGAGCTTAAATCCCTCCAGCAGGAATAGGAGTGAATAGGAACTAGGCATCTGTGGACTGCCAGTTATCCAACAGTTCCCCCTGCTGCTATTAACACACTGCTTCATGGTGATCATATCTACTAAAGGCTTTATCCTGTAGGCTTAAATACTTTGAATTGTGTTTTGCTTTTGCCTTTTGTCTAGGGACCACCATGTGACTCAATTCTTTGTTGAAAATAGTAGCAGCTTATTAACATCTATTGCTCTCTTTTGCACGGTAGATTTAGCAGAATGACTGATAACATCAGAAAGTGAAATGTCGTATATCCAGGGAACAGCAAAAAGAACTGGCTTATAAGCTGCTCTAGAAGCTTCTCTGTGTAACTCCACGATCTCTGGTCTTCTGTGGATATGCAGGATCCTATCCTGAGCTTTTCCACTCATAAATTCCACAATACTCAGGTTCTGTCAGTTCTTTCTCTTTCTCTTTCTTCCCAATGACCACCCCCCCCCTTTTTTTTCCTGGCAGTGTAAATGGCAGTTAAATTCCACTTCCTGTAGGAAGCCCTCCTGTGCCTTCAAACTTGTTCCCCTTGTCACCTCTACACTGTTTAATATAAACAGAACTGTAGAATTGTTAAGGTTGGAAAAGAACTCTAAGACCATTGAGTCCAGCCTTTAACCCAGCACCACAATGTTCACCACCAAGCCACACCCCAAGTCCCACATCCACATGTCTTGTGAACACTCCCAGAGATGTTAACTTCCAGAGATATTAACTCCACCACTTCCCTGGGCAGCCTATTCCAATGCCTGACCACTCTTACAGTGAAGAAATTTTTCTTAATATCTAATCTAAACCTCCCCTGGTGTAACTTGAGACCATTTCCTCTCATCCTGAAATACACTCCTTTCTGTTAAAAAAAACCTCACTCCTTCCTACTACAAGTCACTTCCAATGAGCTTTTGAATATTGCCTGCTGAGACACAGAAAGCAAAACAGCTCTCTGAAATACAAGTCACCAGGTATAAAGAGTAACAGAACTAGTAAAATACAGCTTCTTAATTTCTTTTGCTAATAAAACCTGTGCTAGACCCATGCTCTGAAAACAAGGACCCATTCAATGGATCTAATGCATGGAGACAAATATAGTAAATATTATGTTTGAATGAGCATCCATTTTGGCAGCTTGGTAGGCTCCTTCCTATTCAGAGAGATTTAAAGATATTTCACAGCATGCTGCTTAAAATCCAGACAATAAATTGATTCATCAAGACAGCTTTATGGCACGCTATTTTAATGTTCATAATGCTGCTCCTTCTCCTTTTATGCATAAACATATAGAGAGCATCTGGAATTTAGAGCATCACCATATTAAAGAAAATATTTCTGTTGTTGAAAGTGGGAATATTCATCCCTCCCTCTCTGCTTTTTTATCATCTTCTCTTCCCCATCCCAAGCATTTTGTTTTATCTTTCCTTACCCAGTAGAGACCCAATGGCCCTCAATATTGGGAGGCATCTGTACGGTGATGCGGGCTCCATTGTGAAGGTGTTTCAGCATATGATGGCACTGTGACTCCTTGAAAGCCCTCCAGGCACTCTTCTCCAAGGACCGAGGGTAGGTCCTGCTGTCGGGGTGCAGGAGAGCAGAACCTTCTCCCAGCCCTGTGACAGAAAGTGTAAATTACATCATGAGACCCTGCTGAGTCGGCCTTCAATGTGACAAAGGACATTGTGACCATCTTGTGTTGAATGACGCTTGTTCATATTGTTGTGTGTCTGGGCAAATACTGTTTACATTTATTTTCTCTTATGAAAACAAACAAACAAAAAAAAATGGGAAGCTCTTCCTTTCTGTCACACCACTCATAATCTACTAAATAAATTTATGAAATAAACTGAGGAAAAGAGCTCAAACTGAAGTGCTGTGTTTCCACACCCAGGAGATGTGGCTCTGAAACTGAACTTTAGAGACACCTCTGTAATCTCTGGTCAGGACAATCAAAAACCTAGACTTTCAAACTTTCAGAAAGTTGCATCCAGATCCGGACACAAACTTTGCGGTTTCAGCCCTCCTCTAATTTGAACGCTTCTATAATAAACTTGCAAATAAAGACTACTCTTTAAAGTCAAGGGAAAACAGATATTAAAAGCAAAGCCTCTGCACACAGGAAGCCTCTGTGATGACTGAGGTGGTCAATTAAAGGCAGATCCTTCTATTTTTATTTTAAAGGGGAAAAGGAATTTCAAAAGCTAACTTTATCTCCAGCACACAGTAATTTTGGTTTCTAGTAATGTATACATGCAAAATTTACTAGCATGCTCTCTACACAATATTAATTGAGCAAAATGAATACATAGCTTCAAAAGGAATGTGCCTTTACTCTTTTAAACACATCCTGCTCTTAGATATGTTGGAAAACATGGATCAAAAGAAAACCCCACATCTAGGGGTTAAAAGGTGACAAACATGAACCTTACATAACGTGTTGGAAACTCTATTACATTGCCCGAAGGAATTTGAGCACCAGAGGGTTTCAAAATGGGTAAGGGGTTGGGTGAAGGGGCTGTTTGGGTGCCTGGGAAGTTGGGGCAGCCATCTCAGGAAAAGGAGGTCTCTCTGTAAGAGCTTCCAGGGGCAGGGTCTGGGATTCATCCCCATATTTTCTGCTGCCTTCTCAGCTGACCTGGATAAGAAATGGGGCTGTTGGGGATCACCAGTGGGAACCACCCAGTACAGGATCCTATGCTTTATGACCTAGGCCCCATCTGACATTTGGGCACATGCCTAGTGTTAGGTAGACACTTTCTTAAGTCTTTCCCATTTCCTATTAAAAAGAATAAAAAAAAAGAAAGGAAAAAAAAAAAAGAAAATAAGAAAAAAAGAGAAAAAATAAGAGAAAAAAAGGGGAAAAAAGTTGATTTATTATGTTGGCTAGGTCTTAGATATTCTGGAAGAAACTTGGGTTGCACCTGGGAAAATGGCATTGCCAAAATTATAAATACATGTCAACCATTTAAAAACAGCAATTCCTCAGCTAAACAGAAGCAAAGACTCGTCCAGGAGACAGGGTAAAAAATGATCAGAAAGAATACAATAAACACTTTAACCTAAATGGTGCTCACCATTGAACAACACTGGGATTTAATGAGATTAATGAATACAACCTCACAAAATCTTTTCTGGAAAAACTGATAGCTTTGTTATGTTGCAGGTAACAAACAATTCTTCGATGTGAATGAGAATTCATGGCCTTGCTTTCTATAGGGTAATAAATACTAGGGATACTTTGATATTTGAGCACACTGCCTGAGATGCCCTTACAGAAGCCTGATTTTCAGGGCATCAGTACTTCTCCCTTTCTGGATGTCAGAGATTTCTCAGGTATTTCTACACTGCAGAGCCGAGTTACTCATGCTAGCACCAAACAGCTCCCACTCTGCAGCCAGAAACAGTATAGGCATGACAGGGTGATGCTCTGCTTGAACTGACTACATCTTTGGAGAGGCAGGATTGACTAGGCTGGGTCTGTGCTTCATGTCCATGCAAGGTACATGGCAGAGGTTGTAGCCACCAGCACTGTCTTTCAAAGTGGTGTCTCCTGCAGACAAATTATCTCACACTGAAGAAAGACTTTGAAAATTCGCATTTCCTTTGAAGTTGTTGAACATTTGAAATTTGCCATCAGAAGAAAGTTTTGGAATTGTTCAACTGGCTATTTTCAATGCATATTTATTGTACCACTGCTTTTATGCAGCTGTATTTTGCCTAGTTCATGTCATATGACTCATGAATACAGATGCATTTAGAAATTATTCATTTAGGCATACTTGGGGATTTAATTTCTTCAAGCAAAAATCCTTCTTTGGGAGGACACCATCTTGTATGTGCACATATCAAAGAAAAAACTCAGTAACCACATCAGACATTCCCAATTATTCCCTGAAGGAAATAATAAAAAGAAGGAGTTTTTGAAAAGGAGTCAAACTTTATGTGGTATTATACAGTATCTTCTTTGATACAGCTCAGAAGCAATTGTATCTCAGCTCTCCATGTCACATGAGTGTAGTTCTGTCTGCAACTTGCAAATGATAAACTGCAGCTAGGGAATTGCAGGGAGATTTCCATCGACAGGCCTAGAGGAAAGAGGGTATTTGTTTGGGACTCTATCCATCCAACTGTGACAAATGAAGGCAAGAACAAATTCAGGTAATCAAGAGAGGCAGGAGAACATAATGATGGCTGCAGAGACACAGGGAGAGATGTAGAAAACACACACATAGAATGGTTTGGGCTGGAAGAGACATTAAAAATTATCCAGTTCCACTTCCCCCTGACCATGGGCAGGGACACCTTCTACAGGACCAGATTGGTCAAGGCCCCATCCAGCCTGGCCTTGAACACTTCCAGGGATGAGGCATCCACAACTTTCCTAGGCAACTTGTTCCACTGACTCCTCACCCTCACAGTAAAGACTTTCTTCATAAAGAAAGAAAGGATTTGATTTAGATCTAATCTAAACCTGCCATCTTTCAGTTTAAAGCTGCTCCCCTTGTCCCTTCACTAAATGCCTCCGTAAAAAGTCCCTCTCCAGCTCTCTTGCAGGATCTCTTTAGGTTCTGGAAGGTGCTCTAAGGTTTCCCCAGAGCCTTCTCTTCTGCAGGCTGAACAACCCCAGCTCTATCAGCCTATTGCCACAGGAGAGGTGATCCAGCCTTCTGAGTATCTTTGTGGCCTCCTTTGGACTTGTTCCAGCATGTCCACGAACTTCTTATGCTGGGGACCCCAGAATTGGACACAGTACTTGAAGTGGGATCTCCCCAGAGCAGAGGGACAGAATCCCCTGCCTTGCCCTGCTGCCCACTCTGCTTTGGATGCAGCCTGGGATGTTTGGCTTTCTGGGCTCTGAGTGCACATATTGAGCTTTTCATCAACCAACACCTCCAAGTCTTTGTCCTTGGGGCTGCTCTCAGTAATGCTAAACATCACAGGACCAGAATATCAGAATATGAAAAACAGTGTAAGATTGAGAGGCAGCAATGGGACCTTTACCTATGTTTGCCTTGCTGTAGCAAGGAAATACTTAATTTAGCACAAACTTCTTCCTTACAAAGAAGTAATTTCAATACTTTTGTAGTTACTGACGTATGCCTGTAGATACAGCTGCCACACAAAGGAGATATAAAATCCCCTTGTACCATCTGCAGGTCAAATACTGAGACCAGTGATATGCTCCCCACACAGAGCAGTAAATCAAACTCCATCTTCTGTGTTTTTCCTCCCAGCAGGTGCTCAGAGGCAGTGCAGTGCCCCCCTGCCCCACCCTTGGCAGTGCACACGAGGTGTTCTGCAAAACTGAGGGACTGCAGGGATGATTCACTTATTTTAAAAGATCCATTTGGCCATGTTAAATGAGACATTGCTGGAAAGGCTCAAGGTTAAAACATGCATTCACAAAACTGGGAAAAGAATTTCATGACTCTTTAGAAGCCCACTTTGGATAGTAGATGCAGTTGCAACATAGTTGGAGCCATTACTTTCATTCAGAGAGATCCAAGTCTGCTATTCTCCATAGCACTGACAGATGGTAGGTTTCAGTATCTCCATGACTGAGTATCTCAGACTCAACTGAGAATATTTCAGACTCTCTCTGACTGTTTGAATTTTTGTGTGCTATCAAGGAATATTACCCACTTGTTAAAAAATAGAAACCCAAAAATCCACCCACTATGCTACTAATCAAAAGTGTGACAGAATTCAAACAAACAAACAAAAAAATCTTTGCATGAGATGAATAACAATAATTTTGTGAAGTGTCTGGTTGGCTCTCACTTTAGCTACACCAAACCAGAGACTGGTGTGATTGTATTCCCTACCCCACAACATTTGTTTTCACAAAGGAGGAAGTTCAAAAGGAAAAGGAAAATTCCAGAATCCACTTGAAATACCAGGTGGCAAAACAAAAGCATGTTATGATGAGCTGATATCCAGCTTCCCTTTCAAAATCAAGCCCTAGCAGTGACACAGCTTTAGCATGAGAGGTGCTACAGCTCACTGGGGATCCCTGCCCAGACCCTCAGAGACCACACAAGTCTTTGAGGGCCTGTGATCTCAGATCACACTTTACAGGATCCAACATCCATCTGAGTGGGAAAGTGGAGGCCTGTACAGCTGCCATGCCAGTAAGACGTGGATAGGAGCATGTACCACACCAGACAGAGGGCTTCAGGCTCTCATGTTGACCTATAAACCTGTATCTGATGTGGGAACAACCATTCAAGATAAAAATAATTGTTAAGGGAAGATAGGTTACTTTCAAGTTCTTCAAAGATTTCTGCACATAGCTGCGAGTAAAATACAGATCTTAAAAGGGCCATCCGTTGGCAGCCCATTACCCAAACGTGATTCAAAAATGGTTATGACAAAGCTCTCTGCCAACATTTCTGAAAAAAACTGCAAGCTGCTAGAATGAATGTTTTGGTTTTCTGAAAAATACCATGCAAATACTGTACAACTGCAACAAAGATAATACATAGAGTTGTGCTTGAACACAGATAGTTTTAATTTAATTTGTGCCTCAACACCCAGGCCAAATTCTGTTCAGAGCTACTCCAGACTGCTAAAGCACAAGGCAAATAATCTTAAACTGTTTAGATTTTATCACTTTAATGAACGTCTCTACCAGAATCTAAACCACGGCTTCGAGCATGTCCAAGTGTAGCGCTTTAAACCAGTCTGAAAGCTACCAGGTGTTCAGCAGGTTCATCCTTTGCTAGATCGTTGGAGACATGTTACCTCAGAGTATGATTCAAACCTGGCTTTAGACTGGGATTGCTCAGCAGGAACCACTTTTTTTTTTTCCTAATTTCTAGTGATGTAAATACAGAAGAACAAAATTTTATTATGAAGTAAAACAACCTTGAGTGATAGCATAAGTTCAAAATAAGCAATGGCTTAATCTCTGACAGAAATATTTTAACACTCATGCTTTACTCCTGCAGCAACCTCTTTTCAAGTTAGAACTTGTCTGAAACTGGAAAAACCTTACAACAGATAAAGAATAATTGGCTGGATTAACTTTATAGCTCTCCTTATCTGGGCAGTTGCCCTGCACAATTAAATAAATAGACATTTGGATCATGCTTTTTCTTGATGTGGGATAGTGTCAGATAATGCCTATGACAGGCTTTTAGCTCCAGTGCAAGCTTACATAATTGCCATGGAGAATATAATGTCCTGTTACCAAGCCACGAGCTGTGTTTACCAGTGTTTTCCCTGCACTTGAAACTTCAAAGAGTCCTCGCAAGACTGGGGCCCAAATTAGCTACTACAAACAAAAGGGTTGGGAAAGGAAAGCCGGGTTTTATGGCCAGGGAAGCAGACAGGACAATGACTTCCTTTCACATGTATCTGTTGCCTCTCTTGTGCACACACAGAGTTTCCAAGTGCAGCTTTTGAAGAGAGGAAAAATGAATGCTTAAGAGCATGGAAGATCCTGAGGAGGGATCCAAAGTATGTCTACATGGGACAGCTAAAAAGAAACCCCCTCAAAGCTGGCAGGGCCAGCATGGAGGTCCACTGTTACCCTATAGCTTGATCCTCATTCAATGCCCTCTCTTGGAAGAGGTCAGAGAATCAAGAGCCAAGCTGTTACACAGCCCATAACCTCTGCTTAGCTGAAGTTCTTAATTGGGATGGCTGCTGCTATGTGTGCAAGGTGAAATGGCACTGCCCAGAAAGAGGGCTTCTTTATGAAACCCTGAAGGGTTAAAGCCCATCTTTCTTCAGGGCAGTGGGAACTCTGCCCCTGACAGGAATGGGTGCAGTGCTAGCATGTCTGTGCAGTTCAGTATCAATGGTAGTTTGGTCTTGCCCTCTATGCAAGAAACATCTGCCCTCTGTCAGAGCATCTGCTCCATCCTGTACCCACACCTTGGCACTGGGGTTTATTCATGCTGGTTGGCCCCAACTCCCCTGGCACTTGTGTCCAAGTGAAGACAGTGCTAAACAAATTCACTACAGATAATCCTGCCCTCTACCAGCCCTAAATAGTCACTTCACTAATGAAATCCTACCCTTGCCTTGGATAGCTGAAGGTATTTGCCTCCAGTGCGGGTGAGGCACTTTTTGGCCCCACTGTGTGCCAGCCTACTTTCTACAGACACCCTACAGAGCACAAAAAAGTTGTCCTCTCTGTTGATGACATCAACATCTTACCACTGTGTTAGCCCACAGTCAAGCTACAAAAATGAGTGAAATGAAATTTACTCTGACAAACGTGTGAATAAAAGTTAGTCCATCTTCTAACTCTCCCTGCAAATTCTCCAACTCTTACACTAAGCACTGTGTCTTCCCATCTTTTTATTGTCTTCCAGATTTTGAAATGCATTATTTAACTGAGGAAACAGATCACATATGTCTCTAGCACAGAGCACAATATATGTTTATTGTATGGCTATGGGTATTTATATCTCCTGATGCATTTACTTATTATTTTCCTGAAAAAGTTTTGAAATAAAACACTACTATATAACTAATTTAAGCAACACTGCCAGAGAACTTTTAAAAACATAAAAAGTTTTTCTCTGAAAAGCCTATCAGTCTTGTTTTCATTGTCTTTATTAGTACCATTTCCATGATGTTATCAACTAATTGTTTTAAAGTTTCTAACTCATTATTCTAACAGTAGCATAATCAGAAATATACTAAAGCTTTTTTTAAAGCATCTGTATTTATAAAAAGAAAAGGTTATGTTTACAAAATAAATTACCCAAATTTGTTTTAAATCCACTTGAACGTAGCTCTTATTATTCAGGTTTTTTGGACTTGAACGATCTTAGTGTTTGACATCTGAAACTTCTGTGGCTTTTTGTCTAAGCAAAGAAAACAGTGATAATGGACAACTTCCAGCTGCAAACCTGGTTTTTTTTGTTTTTTTTTTTTTTTTTTTTGTGACACTGTACATGTAGAGGTTTTATTTTGATTAATGAAGACTAGTTTTTCCAAATTTCAACTCAGTGACGTTAAAACAGGCATTTCTTAATGTAATGAAAGCAGAAGCTCGAGCCTTACAGGACATTTTAACTTCTGTCACAAAGCTTTAAGCCCTAAAAAGCCTCAACCACCCACCCACACTCACTCACTTTTAACCCTCGAATTGCCATATGCAATAGAAATCCAGAAAGAAAATGCTGCACGCTGCAGAGAGGCTTAACACTGCAGTCCCCTGGGATCGCTGGTTATTCTTACACATTAGCAACTGGGGATAGCTGCGGATCAAAGGATGTTTCTACTGATTTTATGGCATGGATGGAAAAGCTCTAGACCAAGTTAAAGCCAACAGGGTAAAGACATTTCCATGAGCTATATTTCAGTGCCACTGATATAATTTTCAAGTTTGTAAGAGGGCAGTAGTTTCCAAACTCTTGAAACTCTGATCCAAACTGTGGACTGCTACATTACCAAGGTCCTTGTCTTCATATACAAGGCAGTGAGTTGTATCTTTCTACAAGAACTTTGGTTTATGTGGTTGGGTGAAATATAACTGCAGATGGAAGAAATGGATGACTTTTCTTCATCATCCTCTTTTGGCAGCTGCTGTTTTATCTGATCACTGGCCCTGATTTGTTTCCTGCTCCAGCCAGCACTCAGCTCTGCTCTGTAATTCCAAGCAGATGAGCCAGGGAGTCCAACCCTGCAATTACACCTCCTCTCTTTACCCTCTAACTTCAAGTCTCCCATTTCAACTTTTACATCTCAGATCACAGAGTTGAAAGAACACCTCTGGCGTCCTGTCAGGTCTGGCTCAGCTAAACATGTTTCTACGCTCTCCGGATCTCATAGCTGAGCTGTGAGAAGAGTATCGACCCCCTCCTGGGGATCAGAGCCTCCTACTCTTTCTTTCTCTAAACAAAATATACCATCAGAAGCCCATGTTCTTTATTATTTATTAAATACCATAGTGTGTGCTTAGCACTTGTACAAACACAGAGAGAGACAATCCCTGCTTCACAAAATCAACCCCAGGAATAGCTTTGAAATCCTCAATCCCAGCTCACAGATCTCCCACTGAATCCATGTAGGTCACTTGCATTTCAACAGTTAAAAAAATTCCTCTTTTTACGACTAAGCTTGGGGTCCTAAGAAATTTAACTGATGGAGGCTGGATGCTACAAAGGACTTCAGAATTGGGAACACTCTCCAAAATGATGCTGAATAGCTTGAGTCGCACTTTCAGAAGGACATCATACCCAGATTTTTCAAATCTGGCTGCCAAATGTTAGATATACCTAAGCAGCTCATTAAACTGCCTCCTTTTCAGAAGTTTCTCTTGAAGAACACTGGCTCTCTGAAAAGATCGGTTATCTGTTTAAAGGCCTAAAAACGAATTTACAAGATAAACTTTCAAGTTTAAATACGCTGACTTTTCTCACTAAAATTTTGCCTGCAGAGAGATGTCAGTCCAGGGTTAAACTGAGAGGCTGTCAAAGCAGGAGTGTGTGTAAGAACACTGAGAATTTTTGTGCTCTGCAGCAAAACAATTTTAGTTGCGCACAAGATCCGGTGCTGGCACACTTCGCTACCGAAGCCTTCCCAGGTAACACCTCCACGCCAAAAAACGCTTCCCGATAAGAGGAAGAACGCGGGCCTCGCAGGGCGTCTCGGCCAAACGCGCCGGAGTTCGGCAGCGCCAGCTCTCGCCGGAGGTGAGTAAAGAAACTTTGTGTGAGGTGCCCGGACCAACTGCTCCATCCACGGAGCTGCAACGCGATCCGCCGACACCCGCTCGGCAGCGGGGCGCTTTCGGCGGTGCCGCTGCACGCGTGCTGCGCAGGGGCTCCGCTCACACGGGCATCAGGCAGAGCCACGGGGGCTGCCCGCTTCCCATCCTCCGCCCGGGCAGGCGGGACCCAGCGCCCGCGGCCACCACGGGACAGCGCACCCACCCACCCGCGCCCCTCTGCGGCCCCAGGGCGGCTCCGGGCCCCCCGCACCCCAGCGGCTTTGGGGGGCCGAGCCGCGCCGGCAGCGCACTCACCGTGCAGCAGCAGGGCTGGGAACAGGTACCGCACCAGGCTGCCGTACGGGGCGGACATCTCCCCGCCCGCAGCGCTCCTCGCCCGCTCCTGCGCTCCGGCCGCCGCCACTCCCGCCGCGCCGCCCGCGCCTCAGCGCCGCCGCGGGCAGCCCACGGCCCGGCGCTGGGGGGCAGGCGGCTGGCGGGCCGGGGACACGGGCCCCCTCCGGGACCGCCGCCGCCGCTCCTCAGGGCTCCCGCCCCGCAGGCCGCCCACCCGGCAGCGCTCCGGCTCGGCCGCCGCCGCTCGGTGCCTGAGGATGCCCGCACCGCCGATGCCGCGTCCCCGCTGGTCTCCGCGCAGCGCGGCGACGGCTCCGCTTCATATTTCCCCTTCCAGCAGGAGGAGGAGGAGTGGTCGGGAGGTGGGGACTCGTCCCGGGGCGGGGAGGGGGCGGCTCCGCCGCTGGGCCGGCGGCAGCGCCGGACAGCGCTCGCTCCCACGGCGGGGGAAGGGGCGCCCGCGACCGCCCGGCGGATCCGCGGGGCGGGGGCGGCGCGGAGCGGACACCGCGCTCTGCGGGCACCGGGCACCGGAGCTTTGCCATCGGCTGGGATGGGCGCGGGGCGGGCTGGGGATCCCGTGGGAGAGAGAGCGAAGCTGCTCCGTCCTCCCGCGGCTGCGGGCACGGAGTTGCCGGCTGGGCTGCGGCTCCCGGGGCCGGCAGGAATCTCTCTTCCCCAGGGGTGCCAAGCGCGACTTCGCCGTCGCGACCGTAAGCTGGAGAGAAAGAAAGTTGGTGTGTGTCCTCTCTTCGAAAGGAAACCTCGGTGTAGTTACTGCTTTCCATGTAAATCCGGCGTTTTATAAGCTAAAAATGCGTGTCAATGATACTTCTGGTGCTGCACTCTCCTGCACGCATTCCCCCATGTCTCTTGTTGACTAGTTTTGCTTTTTTCTCTAGTCTTAGGCCCTGGTCATGCAAACACGCATGGACTTAATGTACCTGTGAGTGACTCGTGCCTGAGTTTAATCACGGGACTTTCATTTGTGATGTCCTCTGGATAGGCATGTCATATTTTCCAGTTTATGTTTGGTCTTGTGAGCTCAGCAGTAGGGCCTCATGGCAAAGAATGTGTAACAAATTGGAGGAAATGTTGAGAAAATCAACATAACTACATTTTGAACAGCTAAAGTGTTTACACGCTGCATGCTTAAAAAGAAATACAAACAATGTTGATTCCCTCCAAGTCCCTTGAGAGGGAAGAATAAACTTAATCTTCCTCACTTATATAGGGAGGAAACTGAGACAGAAGCAAGTAAGTGGTGAGTCAGAGTCAATGCTCCGGTGCCTTGGATTCCCAGGATTATGCTTGTGCCTTCACACAAATGTCTTTCCATCCCGAAGGGGTGGTTTCCAGAGCACTTGGTGGTGGTCTGTACAAGCCTGTAGTGATCAGACATCCTCTCAATGACCTGGATAGACATGGACAGAGAAAGGCAACATCCTCCAAGACACAGGTGTCCACGAACACGATCAAGTAACACAGGGTAAGGCTGTAAAAATGCCTTTACCCCACGTTGGTTGCGTTGGTTGCTCATTGTCTTCTCTTGTAGTTGCGACAGAGGTGTTTGTCAGGCGAGTGTGTGAAGGGAGGTGATTCATGCTGTAGACACAGCATTGGGAAAAAGTGTTGTGTATCCAGGTCAAAATTCTGATTTTGCCACTTGTAACAATCGTGCAACAGCAGAGACACCCAAGTAATTTTGCTTTATCTGCAAGTTCAGTAAATGAGTCAGATACAATGAGCAAGGAAGACAACAATAACCACTCAAAATACAGTACAAACATCTGCATTTCTGAATCTTGAGGACCTGTGATGTACTTCAGATCTGTGTCTGCTGGTTGCCTCCCCTAAGAGAAGTCACTGTCAGGGTTATCAGTAATGTAATGCTGGGTGTGCAAGTGGGTGTTAGAAGGAGAAGGAAAAGGTGATGTGTGTGGGAAAGTGGATTGTTGGTTGAGCAGGTTATTACTAAGGGATCCTGCCTGGTGGAAGAAGCCAGTCTGAAGAGACGCATGTGTTTGGCACACACATGGATAATATGACATGTAGGAAGTCTCCCTAAGGTAACTTTTGCTATTTACCTGAACATAAAAGGCAGGCCAGCGTCACTGTAAGCAGTGATGAACGATTAAGGGTTTTGAATGTAATTGCATAAAAGCAGCAACGTCCAAAAGGAGAGGCTTCTTATAGGCACATTCTGTTTTACCATCCCCCCATCGAGCAACATAATAATTTGCAAAAAGATGAGGCAGAGAATCGCCTGCAAAAAATCAATTCTTACAAAAGGCAGTTATCCCAGAAGGTCATGGTTTCTCCCTTGGGAAGTGACCGGCCCCCATGGCAGCAAACAGCTTTTCATAAGAGGAAAGGGCAATGCCTTCACTGTTCCAATGGACAACTTTGTAAATTGGGCTCTGCTTGTGGTTTACTATCAGTGCAGTTTCAGATGTGGTAATGAAACAAAATGAAATCAATACCCAGTGAGTTCATGGGAGAACTTGCAAGAGACAGCACAAAATATACTTTGTTTTTTCTTGTCTTCTTTATTTCCCTTAATTTTTTGTCATTTTAAGGCTATGTGTTTTATCAGCCCAATGCATGTTATTTTTCTTTAAATATACCCAGTCCTACTTGCTTCATTGCCGTGTCCCTCTTCAAAATGTGCTGTAATGGGAAGCAGTGACAAATAACAGCTCTCTGCACTTTGATCTAGGCAGCATGTCACATCAGTTCTCATTAAAAATGGCATTAACCAATCCAACCATGACTTTCTGAAATGGAGCTCCTGGTGTGTATACCTAATTTAGGTATAATGCAATATCATTCACAAAGGCATTTCTCATGCATATTCTCAAAAATACCATAGAGGTCAAAGCATTTAAGAAAGGAAATCGCCAGCAGAAGTTTTCACAGAAAGGAGCTGTTTTGAAAGAAAAAAGCCAAACCCCAAACCTGATGGGAAACGTACTTTGTGACTGAGGCCCTCTGCAAAAAGTATTAAAATAGGAGGAAAACTAACTTGTTGGACTTGTTGTGTGACACTTCAAAGATCTAGGCATATCAGCATAGCACTTGTCTAGGTAAAGTGCCGACTGGTTGGCTGGCAGCCAATGCCAATCTGGTGGTGAAAGATACTTAAAAGAGGGAGAGGATGGGAAAGAATGGAGGCAGCGAGTGTGAGGGACACTTTATGCTATGGAGAAGAATAGGATGGGGCAGCGCGGCTAGGATTGACTAATGGCTATATTATGTTTTTAAAAAGAAGGGACGTAAAGATTTATTGAAAAGGAGTGGAGTGACTAATTCGCAAAGGATCAAGCGTCTGTCAGATTTCTGTGAATTGCCCATGGCAAATTAATCAAAATAAGTAGGGAGAAGTTTTTTTTACACATCCAGCTTGAGCTAGAAGCCACAAGATAAGCCTGAAGACTGTTTGATAGAGAGAAATATTCACTATGCGGCTTCTTATTTCGGCTTCAGCTGCTTGGGGAAGAAGTTAATCTGTTTAATTATTTGAAAGAAATGGTAATTGGTTTGTTTCTTCCTTCTTTCTGAACTGAAAATGCCATACTTTATGGGATATAGCAGAAATGGGATTTATCCATTACTTCCTCTACTGGTTTTAAATATTTAGAATAAGGTGTTTAAGCTGCTGATTTTTTTCCTTATCCTTTGTTTAAAAAGTAATTGAAAGAACCTCTGGCAATATTTCCTAAATCTTTGCCTCCCAAATTATGCAGACTACTTGACTTTCCCCTACCAGAAATTTTTTTCTTCATTGCAGCTACTGAAGACAGTGGAATTTTATGGTTGCTTTAAGGGATGCTGAATCTGGGTTTGGTTTTGTCAAACATGTACCGTTGGTAAGGCTGTCCTGGAAACTAGGGCTCTGAGGTGGAGCAGATTACCACAGAGGTCTATCCTTTATTGCTTTTCCCTGTATAGGTAGACAACTAATCTGATAAGTGTGTTTTGGAAATGAATTTATTTTAGTCATCCAAGACACAATGCACGTGTTAAAGTCTGTTGCCTGGAAGCAAACATAGGAAGTATAGACCAAGCATAGTAAAATGAAGTTATTGTGGCCACTGCCTATAGGCTCTTTTCTCTTTTTTTTCAGATACACAAAGAGATGTGCATGCACATGAAAACACAGAGCCCATCTGCTAGAATAGACTTGATGGCTTCACAAAAATGAGGTTGGTTATTCAAATAAGGGATTTTTTTTCAGTTTTTCTAGAATGGTTTAAGAAGTAGATGGAAATAAAGGTATAAAATGATGTAAGAGTAGACCCTGCAGAGCTAGGGCAACCCCAGGCAGAAAAAATAAAACAAAGATGTAAAGAGCTCAAACTTAGCCAATGGCTTTTCATAAAATTAGCTCTCTCCTTCTTGTTTCCCCACTCACTTCTGGCATTTAAAATGTGATTTTGATTTGACAATTCAGAGGCAAAGAGGAGCTTCTCTGTGTAGAATTACTTTACTACAACCACAAATTTCATGGTGCTGTTGCTGTAAGCAGAGCTTGAGAGCCATGTCCAACTCCCAGTGAGCTTGGCTGGGGTCTTGCCATTGACCAGAGCGAGGGGTGGATCAGCCCTTGGGCGAGGCTGTTGGAAACACCAGCTGGAACACCCAGTGCTCATATGTTGGTGGCATTCATCTGGAAGCACAGCAAACGCGGGCTAAAGGTGTTTCTTCACCCAGCAAACAGGCAGCCATCCTAACCCTCTGCAGCACTGCCACCCATTCATGGCACTCAAATACCATGAAAATGGGTGTGGCAAAAATGTCTTCATGAATGTTGTTTGAACCTCCTGTTGTTTGCACAGTGGCTTAGTGATGTTGTGACTTAAGGGAAAGTAAACCACCTCAAACAGCTAAACCAGCAGATTGAAAATCTGTTGCAATCTGGATGAAAAATGACCTTTTTATATCTTCTTGCTCTGAAGAGCTGTGCAATGGATCAGAGAAATAATGATTCTGATTGCTGAAGACAAAGGAAAACTTATGGAAAAAATTAAATGCATG